AAGTTTATGGTAATTCATTACAGAAACAGTAGGAAACTAATATGCCACCCCTATCCTGAATTAGTTCATGGTCAGGTGGGAGGAAAGTACTTCATTAAAAGGATTTATATAAAACATCAGAATATTTTAATCTAATTGTTATAAACTAAAAACTTAAGCTGCAAGAAAATGAAACCTGAAAACAAAATTGTGTATTCTATTCTCGACTTAGCATTTTTCAACTTCCATCTCACAGTGCTGTCAATCTTAATATCAAACATAACTCTAAGTCCTTTTATATGAACTGCCCTTAAGCCAGATCTCTGCTGTTAAAGATTGGAAGAAAAGGGGGCAGATTTATAAGCCCCTAGTTCAGAAAAGTTACTGATGTGATATTGTATCCCTTTCCTGGAAAATTCTCAACCTATTCGAAGCCTTTTTAATCACCAGAATCATGCCCACCACATCTTACACTCCCCAGATTAGGGGCAGCTGAATGAATCAAAAATTTTAATAATATATTTTAAGTGAATTTTGTATTAAAGTATGCTTAGTTTTTTTTTTTTAAGTATAAGGCTTTCAAAAAGAAAATTCATTCCAGTAAGTACTACTTGGATAAAAAACTGAATTCCCTCTCTGTCCTTTCAGTTCCACTAAAGGTGACCACTAGCATGACTCCTAACACCCTAGTTTATTTAGTTTCGCCCATTTTTGAACTTCCCAAAAAAAAAAATGGATTCAAACAGCACTAACTCTTGCTGTGTCTACCTTTTTTTCAGTTCTACCATGGCAAGGCTCATCCATGTTGTGTGTTAAGCAATGATTTGTTCATTCTCATTACTGTGGGGTATTCCATTGTATAAGCAATTTGCTTATAATACACTTTTGTCCATTCTACTATTGATGAACACGTGGGTTGTTTTCAACCTCAAGCTATGAGGAATAATACTGCTCTGCATATACTATTACATGTCTTTCGGTGCAAATGTATCTGCCTTACTGTTCAGAGTTTATCAAGAACGGAGTAGCTGAGTCATAGGAGATGCATCTGCCCAGTTTTAGTAATGATACTGCAATACTGCAAAACAATTTCCAAAACAGTTATACTAACTTCCATATCCATCAACCATCATGAATGAGAGGTCGAGTTTTCCATATTCTAACCAGTACTCAGCATTGACAGGGTTTTGTGTTTTTTAGCCACTCTGGTGAGTATAGAATGATATCCCATCGTAGTTTTAATTTGTATTTCCCTAATTACTAATGAGGTTAATCCCTTTTTCATATGTTTATTATGTATTTGAAAATCCTTTTTGGGAAATGACTTGCCCAATTTTTTACTGGGCTATCTTTTTCTCAATGATTTGTGAAAAACTGTTTCTACATTCTGGGTATGAGTCCTTTATTGGATACAGCCCTTACAGATACCTTCACCCATCCTGCAAGTTGCCTTTTCTCTCTCTCTATGGAATCTTTCGATGAACAGTGGTTCTTACCAATATTTTCTTCTATAATTAGTGCTTTTTGTGTCCTATTCAATAAACCTTTTCATAAAGGTGTTCTACTTTGCTTTCTTCCAGAAGCTTTTTCGTTTCAGATCTCCCATTTAGCCGTATGATGTATCAATTAATTTTTGTATACAGGGTGAGGTAGATGATCAAAATTCACCTTGTGCATTTGGATATCCAATAGGCCCAGGATCACTGACTGAAAAGACTGTCCTTTCTCTAGAGCACTGCAGAGTCACTTCTGTTATAAAATCAAGAGATCTCAGACCTGTGAGCCTGTTTATGGACTCTCTACCCGGTTCCATAGTCTACCTGGCATTGCATCCACACCACGCTGACAAACCATCCGCTCACCTAGCAGCTTAAGTCTTCCAACTTTGTTCCTTTACTAAGATCGTCTAGAATTTCCATATATATTTTAAAATTAGCTTATCGGCTATTTTTGAAAAAAAATCTGTTGGGATTTCAACTGGGCTTATAATGAGTCCACAGAGTTATTTGGGGAGCAGTGATTTACCCTCTATTATGTTAAGTGTTTTAAATCTCTCAATGTTTTAGCTTACAAAGAATTTTTATCACAAATGGGTACTGAATTTTATTAAGTAGTTTTTCTCCTTTATTCTGTGACTAAATTACAATTATTGATTTTCTAATGTTAGACAAAGTTTACATTCCTAGAATAAATCCAACCTGGTAATGGCTTAGTGTCCCATAAATACAGGTATAGGTCACTAGATTTGATTTACCAATACTTCCTTTTAGGGCTTTTGTGTCTTTTCCATGAGAGTCTGGTCTAGAGTTTCTTGTAACCTCCTTATCAAGCTTTAGTAACAAGGTTATGCTGGCCTCATAAAAGCAGTCAGGGAGTATTCCTTCTTTTTTATTTTTTTTAAATGTTTGTAATATTGCACTAGTGAAGCCATCTGGGCCTGGAAATTCTACTCTGAAAAGGTTTTTAAATACAAATTTAATTTCTTTACAGATATGGAACTACACAAATTTTCTAGTTCTTACATCTTATGAGGTGTTTTATTCAAAAAAACTTGTCCATGTCATCTGAATGTTCAAATGTACTACCATCAAACTGTTCACAATAACATCTGAAGATTTTTTAAAACATCTGTAGGATATATAGTGATAATTCCTTCTTGCCTGACACTGGTAACACCATATACCACTGGAGGGAAGGAAATAAAAGAAGGCAGTCATGCATTACATAAAAAAATCACTGGTGTTCTAATATTCTCCAGCAGAATTACGCACAGCAAGATCAGCGCAGATGGAGCAGGTAAACAATCCAGCAATTCTCTTTCAACAACTTTGACCATCAAAAACAACTGTGAACCTGGGGGAAAGGAGACAGGAACTGAAGGAGAAGGAAACAAACTGTAATGCCGTAGGGTGGCCAGCAAGAACGTGGAAGAAAAACCACCACTAAGCAGGGTTTGTAACCTAGATACCCAGCCCGCTACCCACAAGGTGTTCATGGTCTCCTGAATTCTACCTATGAACCTCAATGCCCCTTTCTCATACATCTTTATTTTCACGAACCTCTGAAATTTGGGAGTTCATTTGATTTTGTATGTGGAGAGCAAACCATACTAGCAAGAGCATTTCCAGTGACTCTGTCATCAGTAAGAGTCACAGATTCGGTTATGCCACAGTGCAGCTGTTGCCAATACTGCAAAATATCATTTACACAGGCATCACTACTTTGAAATCCTGAGACCTTATCTGACATAGCACAGTTTTGATACTTAGTGGATTTTTTTCTAAAGAAATACATTATAATTGTGAGGGTTTTGTACTACTTCGATTGCTGTTTCAATAGAATTTGTAACTCTATATTTTTAAATGCCTTTTAAAAATTGGCTTCCCCAGACTTCAAAGAAGTCCATGGCAACAACAAAAAAAAAAGGGTAAAGCACCCAATAAGGAATCAAGGATCTCACCCATGCCACGGAGCTCCCAGGAAACAGTTAAGGAGCACCTTCCCTCGGCTAGGCCCTGCCCTGGAAGGAGACACAGATGAGTAAGGTTCACCCTGGCTGAAAGCACCAGTCACTCAGTCTTCTGTCCACCTCTCTGTGACCCCATGGACTGTAGCCCGCCAGGCTCCTCTGCCCATGGCATTCTCCAGGCAAGAATACTGGAGTGGGCTGCGATTTCCTTCTCTGGGGAAGAGAGAGGAGACCCCACCCACAGATCAAACCTGGATCTCCAGGACTGGAGGTGGATCCTTCACTCTCTGAGCCACCAGAGCAGCCCATCACCCTGGCGAGTTCTGACATGACCTACAGAGTGAACACCAACACAGAGCCACCCACAACAATGACTGCCATCTCCAGGGACCTGGCCTTCAGCCTTACTCTATATAACCTACTTCCCAAGGAGGGAGCAAAATAAACAATAAACAAAGCATAGGCTTTGATCCAGAAAGAGAAGTGCAAAACCCAACCCCAACACCTACTCTCTGTGGCTCTGGCATCTCCTCTAAGCCTTTCTTTCTTCTGCTGTGACACGGGTTAATACTATCCTTCCCGGTTACTGCAAGGTTTAGAAATACTGAATTTAAAGCACCTAACAAGCACCTCATTCCTGTTACTATTAGTTCAATCTTTCAGGTCAGAGCTCTGATCCAACACTTAATGACAATTAGGGTCTGTCACCGAGACAAGAGGGAGGAAAAAATACAGAAAAGATGGACCGTGAACACCAGAAGGAAAGAAAATCATTCTTCAAAGTCCAGTATAAAGTCCCCTCCTCAGGAAAGCTTTCCCCCTCCTCTCCTAGTGTTCCCACAGCATTTATCACGGGGCAATAAACACGTAGCTCTGCGAATCAATGAAGGAGGAACACAAAAGAGAAAGGGACAGCAACAATGAGTTTCACCCCCATATAATACAAACCACCCTGGATGCCAACTCAGCGGCCTGACCGCCCTGATCCAAGAGCCACGAACCAATCAAGCGGTACATTTCTTAACGCCAATGCCATCCATCCTAGTACCTCTCCCGCCCGCTTTGGTACGAACTGCGGGGAGGAGGGCCTTCCCACGTAGACTGATGCCACCTAAAGGTCAGGCGTGTAAGAGGGAAGCTTGAATCCGGAGAGTAGAAAGCAAAAGAAGTCTCTAACTTTGTGGGGGTAGGGGGGGTGTCCCTGGAGCCGCAGCAAGTCAGGCAGGCGCACTTCTAAGACCGCCAAGGGGTCCAGCGTCCACACTTCCCGCAACAGTGCCAATTTGGGACGAGGCCAGGGAGACGGGGGCGCTGGCAGGGGCGCGCACGGACTCGGCCGGCCGCGGGGAGCCCCGCCTCGATCCCGGCGCACTGCCGCCGCCTTTGTCTCCAGCGCGGGACCCGGCGCGTCCTCTGCCCCGCCTTCGGGCGCGCACGCAGGCACTGGAATGGGAAACGGAAAGCGTTTGGTGCGTTTCTTTTTGTTTTTCAACCTTAAGAAAAAGTCAACACCTAACTTCCCGAGGACCCTCTACGGTCACCAGCTACCAACCTCCGGCCGCGCCGGGCGGCGGCGATGTTCCCGCGCGCCCCCAGTTCCCCCACAACCCTCGGCACCTCCGTGTCGGCGGCGGCGGCGGCGGGCTTCCCGGGAAGCCGCCCTCTTCCCCGCGAGCGGCGGTTGGAGGCCCAGCCCCTCGCGCGTCCTCTGAGCACGTCCCGCCCTCGGGCCGGCGCGCGCCGCTCCGGACTGCCGGGCTCGCGAGCGGGTGGTGCCGGCTGGGAACTGTGGCCAGCAGGCCGCGCGGCTGGAGCGGACCAGTGGGAAGGCGGCCCGCCCCTCCGCACCGGGAGCGACCGGAGCCGGCCCACCGGGGTCCAGCCCCAGCTCGCCCGCGGGCCCAGGTGCCTGCGCTTAGCAGCGCGCCGATCTCTTCACCCTGTTCGTTAATTGCAGGCACCGATCGCTCCTCCACCTCTGTTTGTTAATTGCAGGCACCGATCTCTCCTCCACCCCTTGTTAATTGCAGGCACCGACCGCTGCTTAATTGCAGGCCTGAGGCTGCCAGCAGATTTAGAAACGGAAGTCACCTGAAATCCGGCTCTAGTGGCCCCCACGGACGTTTTGCAGGCTAAAGGAGGTAGCTTGGTGGGGCGGAAAGAGGGCGGGCTTTGCCGCTCGGGCGGCTTCTAGAGCTTGCCGTGTGAACTTAGCCCGTGAGCCTCCTTGTCCTCCTCTGTAAAGCGGAAATAAGCTTTCCCTGCTTTCCTGGAGAATTAAGAGTGAAGACCAAAAGGGATGAACTTCGTGAACGGCAAAGCAACTTACAAGGATGATCAGCCCTACGGAATGTTGTGTCAGTGATTTTGAATAGGTTGTAAAGAGTGGGAGATCTGACGCTGTCTTGGACCGTGACTTCCTGCCAGGTCTCACTCAGAGGCCTCCAGGGCTAGGGCTGCCAGAGTTCCACACTTACCTGAGCAGGAGAATCATCGGGGCTCTTGTGAAAGCTGCTGGCACTTGGATCCTTCTTCATGTCGAAAGAATCAGACTCCCCAGGGGAAGAGAGTCTCAGGTGGCTCTTTGATCAGATACATGTGGATAACTCTGCATTAGGTAGCAGGAAAACACAGTGCTCTTAAGTTTCTTCTAACAGTCATTGAAACAGTCCGGAAGATTATGTTTCTGACTGCAAAATTCTCTGGGAAACCAGAGTACAAACTCTATGAGAACAGGTACTAGCTCCTGTGAGCTCCCACCATCCCCACCCTCAACCATAATACAGGATGATGTTAAGGAAGCAAGTGTTAATAAACTAGCCCCAAGTAGGAGTGCCAGGTGTAGCAAAAATTCAGGCTGCCTAATTAAAATTGAATCGCAAATGAACAAAGAATGATTTTTCAAAATATCGGTATGGCCCAATATTTAAGACATGCTGATTTTTTTAAATCTGTTGTTTATCTGAAATTCAAATTTAATTGGGCAACCTGTATTTGATGTGGCAACCCTCACCCAAAGGGTTTGGCAGACAGAGATGGAGTAAGAATGCAGCATAGCAAGTGTCAGACTCAGGGTCAGGAATGATATAACAGCTCCTGTTATTTCTAAATGACACTATTGGATAGTAGTGTAGGTTCATTGTCATTTACCTTTAACCCCATTCTGCACACACAACATATTCCCTGGAAAACACAAAATGAAAATAAGAGCTGATTTCATCATAGGTAAATTAAAAAGTCAATTACATTAAAATAGTCAAATTTTAAAAGTAAGCAATAGAAAGGAAAAGTATTTGCAGAAACTATGATACAAAGTGTTATTACTTACTAAGTATAGATTAAATACAATCACTGAAGAATAGAAGCCAGTTGTAGATGAGCAAAGCTAGGGCTGCCAGAGTTCCACACTTACCTGAGCAGGAGAATCATCGGGGCTCTTGTGAAAGCTGCTGGCACTTGGATCCTTCTTCATGTCGAAAGAATCAGACTCCCCAGGGGAAGAGAGTCTCAGGTGGCTCTTTGATCAGATACATGTGGATAACTCTGCATTAGGTAGCAGGAAAACACAGTGCTCTTAAGTTTCTTCTAACAGTCATTGAAACAGTCCGGAAGATTATGTTTCTGACTGCAAAATTCTCTGGGAAACCAGAGTACAAACTCTATGAGAACAGGTACTAGCTCCTGTGAGCTCCCACCATCCCCACCCTCAACCATAATACAGGATGATGTTAAGGAAGCAAGTGTTAATAAACTAGCCCCAAGTAGGAGTGCCAGGTGTAGCAAAAATTCAGGCTGCCTAATTAAAATTGAATCGCAAATGAACAAAGAATGATTTTTCAAAATATCGGTATGGCCCAATATTTAAGACATGCTGATTTTTTTAAATCTGTTGTTTATCTGAAATTCAAATTTAATTGGGCAACCTGTATTTGATGTGGCAACCCTCACCCAAAGGGTTTGGCAGACAGAGATGGAGTAAGAATGCAGCATAGCAAGTGTCAGACTCAGGGTCAGGAATGATATAACAGCTCCTGTTATTTCTAAATGACACTATTGGATAGTAGTGTAGGTTCATTGTCATTTACCTTTAACCCCATTCTGCACACACAACATATTCCCTGGAAAACACAAAATGAAAATAAGAGCTGATTTCATCATAGGTAAATTAAAAAGTCAATTACATTAAAATAGTCAAATTTTAAAAGTAAGCAATAGAAGGGAAAAGTATTTGCAGAAACTATGATACAAAGTGTTATTACTTACTAAGTATAGATTAAATACAATCACTGAAGAATAGAAGCCAGTTGTAGATGAGCAAAGACACATGAATAAATACTTTAAAAAAGAGAGAGAGAGAAACCTAGGATGTACAATTAGGAAACAAACATATTGCAAAAAGTTCAAAGTAGTGCAAAGTAAAATAACAATTTTTCACCAAAAAAATTGACAAAAACTAATAATTTTAAAGGCTGGCAAGGGTAGTGTGTGATAGCACTCGTACACTTTTTAGGTTGGTAAACAATTTGGCAGTATCAAAACCCTTACAATTATGAAGACCCTTAATGTTTAAATCTTTTGATTTTGAACTTTGTTTATGGGAATAGATTCTAAGGAAATAATCCATAACTTAGAAAGTGCTCATTACAGTTTTCATTTTGTTTATTTTTTGGGCCACAGGATTCAGTATCTTAATTCACTGACCAGGTATCGAACCTGTGCAGCACAGAGTCTTAATCACTGGACCACCAGGAAAGTCCCTCAATTTTAAATTACATCATTTCAATTCTACCATGATAAGGAAAATATTATAATGTACCAAAATATACTAGAGGAGAGGGGGGATATCCTGAAGTTCTGTAATTTTCCAGACATAAAGAAGTGGAAATTAAACAAAAATTTACACATTCTGTGATCTATTATATTTGCAACCTTTTAAAAATAATGGTTACTATTCATATGTAATATCATAACTAAATACTTTTTAAATCTATGCCTGGGAAAAAAATGACTGGAAAGGAAATAAGGTTATATCTGGGTGGTAGAACTTTATTCTTAATTTTTTTACATTTTTGTTGAGATTAATTAATTTGATAATAGATAAATCTCAACGTGGTGCCACCTAAAAAACAAAGGACTTGTCTTACCATATCAGTTTTAAAAACACCAAAATCTCACCTTTGCACACTCATGCATTAAATGCTGAAACTATCTAAATAGTAAAAAAAAGTTCCTTAAAACATTTTCCCTAAATATAAACATAGAAACACCTTAACCAACTCTGCACATTATCTATTAACCTAGGATCTATCTTAGCAAATTGTTCTATGCTTAATTTATCAGCTTAGTCATTTACATAACCATATAATAATTAAAATGCCTTAAGTATTTTTTAAATTTAGCAAATTATATGAAGCGTTGGGTTTTTGTCCCTTCAAATTACATTCTCAACAGGGGCAAGCTTAGTTGCATGGACTTTTTAAAAATTGTGTAGTAAAATACCACAATGTTTATTTACCATCATAATTATTGTTAAGCATACAGTCCAGAATATGTAAGCTAAGTATATACCCGTAGTTATACCACTCCAGACTCTTCCTCTTGCAGCACTGAAACTCTGTACCCATTAAACAGAACCCTTAAGTATATATATAATATATTATATATATATATAATATAAGTTAAGTATATACCCTTTGTTATACCACTCCAGACGCTTCCTCTTGCAGCACTGAAACTCTGTGCCCATTAACAGCAGCTGCCCACTACCCTAGTCCCTGGCAATGCCATTCTACTTCCTGTCTATGCATCTGACTGCTCTAGGTCACTTATGTAATTGGAATCATACAGCATTTGTCCTCTGGGAGTGGTTTGTTTAACTTAGCATAATGCCTTCAGGGCTTAGCTTTATTGTAGCCTGTGTCAGAATTTCCTTCCTTTTTAAGGCTGGATACTACTCCATTGTATGTATATACAATTGTTACCCATTCTCTGTCAGTGGACACTTGGGTTACTTCTGCCTTTTGTCTATTATGAATAATGCTGCTTTGCGCATGGGTATACAAATACCTCCTCCAGACTCTGCTTCCAATTCTCCTGGGTTTATAAGGAGAAGCGGAATTGCTGGATCACACAGTAATTCTTTTTTTTTTTTTTTTTTTTATATTTTTGTGGAACAGTCATACTGTTTTCCATAGCCACTGCACTCTTTTACATTTTATTTTCCCACCAGTGTACACAAGGATTACAATTTCTCCACATCCTCACCAGTGCTGTTTTATTGGAATTTATTTGTTTTTTGTTTCTTTGATTTTTTGATAGCAACCATCCTAATGGGTATGAGATGATCCATCATTGTGATTCTGATTTACATTTCTCTAATAATTAATGAACCATCCCCAAGGAAAAGAAATGCAAGAAGGCAAAGTGGTTGTCTGAGAGTTACAAGTAGCTGAGAAAAGAAAAGAATTGAAAGGCAAAGGAGAAAGGGAAAGACATACCTAACTGAATGCAGAGTTCCAGAGAATATCAAGGGAGAGAAGAAGCCTTCTTAAGTGAACAATGTAAAAAAATAGAGGAAAACAATAGAATGGGAAAGACTAGAGATCTCTTCAAGAAAA